TGGAACAAGGGAGGGAAAGGACCACCGAGTATATAAACCGACTATGAACTGAAAGAGAGCGAGTCTCATTTCCCGTCCGTCGTGCTCGATGAGTTTCGACGGCAAATTGTCGTAGCGACGATTTCGAGTTTTCCTTCCGGTTGCCCTTCGTCTTTCCATCGCGAAGAAACGTCGGGAGAGTCAATTGATCGACCCTCTTCCAGATATTTGGTACGCGTTATCGCCATTTTAGACAATATTTTTTACATTCACATTTATTTTGCTCTGCTTTAAAATCACAGCAACCAATTCTCTTTTTCTTTTTCTTTTTTTTTTTTCTATAAATGCGCACCAATTATCATGTCACGCTCTTATTCCATTTCTCTCGAGACCGGCGAGACGAATTTCTGATTTTATTGATAACCGGTAAAAAGGAGAAAGGGTAAGTTGTGTGCGCATGAGCCGCGAGGGAAAGGAACCGGAGATTGTCGCGCAAATGAATTTGAAGTATTGTCATTCTACGTCTCTTCACCTGTCTCCGGTGGATCGACGTTCGTGCTTTCGCTCGCGGAACAGTTGAACCAGGTACGGTCTTTTTCCTCCCTCGTAGTCTTTTTTTTACCATCGTCGCGGTCTCGTTTCCGCTCATCTCTCTTCCGCCGAAAGTCGCTTTCTCGTGCGGCCGGCTGGATCGATGCGCCCAGCCGCATATTCGAGCTCAGCGACCGTACGAATTCGCCTGGTACAACGATAAATCGGAGTGAATGGAGAATCACAATAAGATTATCGATAGTAACGTTATCCTCTGTGGATGTCGATCGGACGATTTGTTTCGTTTCGCGAAACTGACTATGAAACCGAGAGACGGGATAGGAAACAGTTGTAGCTCTAGCATAATTGAATCCATGTAGCAATTCTCGCGGAATTACAATTTCAATGGTGGAACTCACTTTTAAAAATATTGCAACAAAATTAGTTGAAAAGCACATTGAGATCCAATTACCTTCAGCTGATTAATTTCCAGACGTTCGTCGCCGCTAAAAGAGTTACATTGACCGTTTCCCCTTTCTCGAAACAGCTCTCATTTCTCTTGCGTAGCAAGAATCTTTACCAAGTTTCAGGCCAAGTACAATAATATTATCACTGAGTTAAGTCATCTCGCAGTCGTCGCAAAGAATTCCCATTAAAGGATTTCAAAGGATAAGTCCGTGAAGAAATATTCCCGGCTCGGAACTCGGGTTAAATTATCGCGGAGTGTATTTGTTCCATTTTCTGCACCGGTACCGCTAAGCTGAAAAGAGCGCAGCCTTTTGACCTGAATACCGGAAGAGAGCCGTTTTAGCCGCATATAATGTCGCTAAATAAGGGCACTAAACGGTTTACCCCATCACGTCGCGATTAAGCGGCGACAAGATGCGATTTATCGGATTATCGGAAACCGGGATATATTGCCGCGTTATATAGAAAATTTCATTCGGCAGAAGCCGAGAAAACGTGGAGAGGAAAAAGACGAATAAAATATGAAAGTACATTTATAAGTTAAAACAGAATTTTCCTTGGCCACCGGAGACTTTCGTTATTACGGCTGGTCGGCCAATAAAACTAATCACACTCTTTAATTATCGTAATCCCAGGCATTATTCCACGCTGTTAAGCTTGGCACTAATCATCCGACGTAGAACGATTCCGCTTATCCGCCATGAACAGAGAACGTACGCTCTCTCGCAGTAGTACGAGTCAAGCGAATGGCCAGTCATCGGTGGATGATCAGGTCGGTCATTTCTGCGGTTACATAAAGTAATATAATTTTCTCTTTTTCTTTATCAATAAAGACATGTGTGTGACGACACTATTAGTTTTTATTAATATGCTATACATACGCCATTCAATTGTTTCAATTATATTAGTTATTTTTTAGTTTTATACTAAATTATTACAAAGCTCGCGCGCCATTATTTTCTTTATGAAAATCTGACGTAAATGGAAAGAAAAACGTTTATAAAAAGATGATTTTGTATAATAATTTTTCTTAGTATAAGAAAGATTTGCATTATCTCTATCAATATTTTTTAAAAATTTTAACCACCTTTACGAATGCATCTACCGATGCTTAATGGCTTTCGATTTCCTTCACACCGAGGACCGCGGCTATTCCGCAATACCGTAAATCGTGGAGAGCATCTAGTTGTCGGAGACCAGAGAAGAAGAGGGAGAGAGAATTAAAGTTAAGGGCAAACAGACTGCGAGCGGGAGGAAGCGAGGTCGAGCCCAAACCTCCCTTTTAAAACGCTCCCCGTGGTGAAATAAATTGGCGCCGGCGTGTTTACACGTTAGGGCGAAATTAAAATTCCTAAAGTGTTGCGAGGTAACGCTCGGTAGGAAGAGGCGGTAGGAAGAGCAGTGCCGGGAGAGCAATGCAGGGATAGCCGCGGAGAACAGGGATGGTGAACGTTGAAGTGCAAGAGGTGAAGAGGAGGACAAGCGCGCGCGCGCGCGAGCGCTCCGGATGTCGACGGCGGGTACCCGAAGGAGAGAGAGATGTGTTTAATTAATGACCGGACTAATTAAAAGCCCAAAGAAAAATACACTCGTGCGCGATCCGGGGGCGGGATATAACGGACCGCGCTAAAACGCTCGTCCGGTGATAATGCACAAAAGCGTCGCGCCGACGATGGTGACGACGAAGGAGGAAATGGAAACGAGTCGTCCTAATAAGTTCGCTCTGTTTCAATTACCTCCGACACCCGGTCGTTCCTTGGCCACGTCTGTATAACATTTTCTACAAAGTGAGTTCAAAGAAGCGTCGAAAAATTTACAAGAGATATCACACTTCAATAAGTTAAAAGATTTTATTAATAAAGGTACGCTTGCCAGAAAAAGAAAAGGAAGACGAACAATTATCAAAGTACGAATTGATACTCTGCTCTCTAGAATAAAATCGATAATAACGAAATATCTTGTGTGAATATTTCGTGATTATAACATTTCGAAGTATTTGCTTGTATCAGATGTTGCGTGCGTTTCGCAAATGCACGAAAACTGCTTCTGTCTCAAACTAGATTTCCGAGATATCGATCGAGCCTTATCGGGCTAGTTCGCGTGTACGCGTTCTATTACCCACCTCTATCTTTAGTATAATGATCATACCACAGTTTACCGATGAACAAACAAACACATCCTGTTAATGTATGAATCTTGCAGGGAGCAAACGCGGGTTCCCAGGTACAAACACATGTATCCGCGTACGTATCTGACGCCACTGCATATATCCGAGTACAGTATATATTATGCGCGCGCTAAGATAGTTCTAATTAAATAATTAATCGCTAATGAGAATTTGCTACATTTTTATATTACGGCACTCGGAAGATATATGTACGCGCTTTCTTATTGAAACTATCGCACATATTGTACACATGTACAATATTATATATATATATGTACATGTTGCATATATGTTAGATTCTGAAATATTAAAGTATCCGTTTACACAAAATTATTGTTTCAACAATAAACGTTGCGGAGTATTAATTATTTAGCGAACGGTGCGCATAACCATCATGGAAACGCGATCTCGTTGAATTCGTGGGAAATATGAAGCTCGAATAGCTCTCTGGCTGCGACCGATACATCATCAAACTCCGGAACTCAATTTATCGAGGAGACAGTAAGCTCGCAAAACAAAGTCTATGTGGGTATCGATGCCATTTGAAGATAATCTTGATACCAATGGGAAATTCCTGCGGCACAGAGACGCGACACACTGAAACAACAAAAAAAAGGAAATCCTCGACGACGCGGGGTTTTGCGTTACGAATGACGCGATGCTACTGTAAATAAAACGGTACGTTACTAATTTAGATTTCTGTCAGATAAAACCGTCCTGCAAAACATTCATCACAACACTCGTCATTCGATTGCGTTTCGATACAGCTCGATCCATCTTTGATTGCAACTAATAAAATGTATAACGCGTGATGGAATGTATGAAAGCGCGATCGACACTGCCATTATAAGGCAATAGGATTGTTACTATGTGCAAACAATGTCGCTTTCAAAAGGATTTTACACAAACATGTTTATTTATTATATATAACTGAAAATAATTACGATATAAGAAAAGATTCAAAAGAATAATTCCCACGTTTATTTTTTATTATTTTCATCGACATACGTCATAATCATATGATAATTAAAGCTATTTATTATATGCTACAAATGTCGTAGATCTAAGAAATTTGAAACTTAAACTTTTATAAATCATATTCACATAGCTCTCACACAATATATTGTTTTTTATATAAAAATTAGTTACATTTTACAAATCTATAAACCTCTTCTTTCGTTTTCGCAACATATCAAATATAAATATTAACATTTTAAAGAAAAAACGTACAATTGCTAATCATTGCAATATATATTCTTATCAATATGTTATTTATACCTACATCACAATCAGAGTCTGACAAACTTGTCTTCAATGAAATACGTGCACACGAATTTACTGTTCAAGTGATCGACATAGAATTTATCGGAGGTGAGAAAATCAGAAAATAGACATCGTGGACAAATAGTAATAGTATAGTACGAATAGCATTGCAATTTCGTGCAAGTTTTTGTTGAATTCTCCATTAAGGTCTTTAACTTAGCCAATTATCTAAAAAATTTTATTTGATTTTTCGGTGCTCTTTAAATATGCAAAACAAATTGTTTTATAATTACACTTCAACAGAATTAAATAATTCGTTCGGTCGTTTATCAATCTGGAATTGTATGCATATGAATGTATGACACAGTTAATGTAAATGCGATATAATAATATTCCAGTATGCACAGAGCCAAAGTTGAGTTCAAAATCATTAATGTAGTCAACAACTATTAGTTTCTCGAATAAACATTCGGTCGATTACAAAGCGGTCACGCAATTAATCAAACTGCGCTAAAATGGCCAGTTAATCGATTGATACTTGGCTAGTACTGTTCCTTTGCCAATTTGTTCAACTTACAGCCGCTACCTCTCGTACTGGTTATTCCAGTCAATGCAAACAAGCTTTATTAAAGTAGACTCACAATTCTCGAAGTGCGTTGGCATAAGCCTGGCGAATCCAATGACGGGAGTTACTGACAGAAGTGAACGCAACGTAAGAGTTGTAATCGCAACTACCATTCCTGACTGGGCTTACGCTCACGACGCCACGAATATACCAAACGTCGTTTTTCTCGAAGCATATGCCGCCTCCGCTATCCCCATCGCAAACACTTGAACCTGATAATTGTATACAATTACATATATTACGTATACTATTACGTAAACTATTTTATGTATTATGTATAAACTATAAATGTGGAATTTTTAACGTTTATGCATCTTTCTTCCATAACAGTATTATTCCAATCAAAATTGTATTATTTATACCATTCAACAATTATTATAATTATTCATATATACAATAATATTCTGAAGTTGCAAGTTCTATATAAAAAAATGCGATTAAATCTCACAACATAGATCTCACAACGTATGTACACATACATAAACTCACCGTTCAAACGACCGGCACAGAATTTGTCGGCCGTGAGGTATCCTCGGAATTCTCTAGGCACCTCGGACCTACACTGACGATACGGCACGAACGGCATGTCAATTTCGTACAAATTCTTAGTAGATTCGCCGTTAATGTTTTTACCCCAACCGACAACCTGAAAACAGAATTAAAGAAATGAGAGTTAATTAAAATATGTTAAGATAATTAATCAATTGATTCTTCTGATCAATATTCATCAGTGTTACCTTGCCAGAGTGTTGTACATTTAGCTGTTCCCTTTCGTACTTATTGTCCCAATCCATGCAGGCTGGCCTCACTAAAGTACTGAGTCGGAAAGATGTTTTTAATTTTAAAAGAGCTATATCGTCGGCATAATTACCTGCCGCTCCTATATATCTCTCGCCCGACCGAATGTTCTCGACTAACGATTTTTGAGCGTGATCATCTATAGCGTTCCAATCGCGAAAATATTTGCCGGCTCCAACGGCGTAATTAGATGCATCATTAATTTTGTTAAAAATATCATCATAAAAGCAGTGAGCAGCTACGAATGCACATGAAAAAGAATTAAAATAAGAATAAACATCAAAAGTAAAATAATTACTTTCTCGCGACGATTTACCTGATATGACGAGATTGTTGCTAATAAGAGTGCCGCCGCATATTTGTTCATACTTATCCGATTGTAATTTGGCATAAATACCAACATGCCAGGGAAATATTCCTACTTTAGCTTCATATCCATTTACAATTAAAGGTTGACCGCGTGCGATAGATGTCCCGCATTCTGATTAAATAAATAACTAGCAAAACATTGTTGATAGATCTATAATATTACGGTGATTACATAAGGCGACTGATCGCAAATCACAATAATCTTATATACGCAAGTATTGTCGAGAAAAGAATTGATGTGTGCATACTTTACTGATACACAATATTATTACGCGCGGAAAGTGTTTAATTTGTCATAACTTCTTCATTTTCAATCTGTATCAAATATATCTCAATAATAAATACCTGGTAGACAGCGAAAGATGTAATTATTCCATGTACCATCATCGAAGCATGTGATTTCCCTGTAACCTGGATCGGTTGTTATAGGTAATTTATAAGATGGTTTACAGGCGAGTGTAGCTTGTGTACCAGGCAATACAAGTTTGTCGCAGGACACTGTTTCTCCCTTACGGCTACAAAAAATATCTACGCTTGTGCTTCTTAATGGTGGACACATTTCTATAAAAATAAAAACATCAAAAGTAGTAAATGATAAATTTTACATCTTGTCTGATTTTATGATTAAACATGAAAAGTATTATTTATACATAAACTTTGCCTTATGTTTTCGATAGTGAATATTGCCAAGTGAACTTACTGAAACACGAAGGCGACGAGGACCATATCTGATTAATACAGACAGAAATCGCATTTCCGCTTAGTACATAATTGTTTTCACAACTATAAATAAGAATACTGTTGCGAGGGACTACATTACTAGGACTTTTGTCACAAGGCTTTGTACAACCATCCAATTCATAACGTCCGCCTTCTGGTTGTTTAGGCAGAAAACAAATATTCTCTAATTCTTTAGTCAATAATCGTCTCACGCTTTCCAGTAGTGTAAAGTCAACAGACTCCTGACATATAGATGCTAAAAATGCATAATGTTTAAATGTTTTTACTAATAGTAAAAATACTATTTCTCGTAATTGACAATAAAAAACTGGAATTTACATGAAGCCAAATTAATGTCCGCAATGATCACAAAAATGGTTTACAGATTGCTTCTTCAATGATGCCAAGTATCAGAATGTAACTAAGAATGACAACGTCGCAAATTGATAATAGCAATAGTAAAAATTGATGTAGAAATGTCAATATTTGCGTGTGTTATTCAGAGTGACTCTATAATTGCAAAATAATTATCATCTATAAGACATTAATATTTTAATGTCGATATAATAATGATTAATACGATTTTCTCGTGTTTAATGATTTATTTCAATGTTCCTGAAAGCTAACATTATGTAACTTCTTATTTTTATTACATCTTAAGAATGTAGAATTAACTTATTTAATAATCATCTACTAATATTTTAATATCAAAATATTTCGATACATATAATCAAAGTATTTAGATATTAAAATCACATATTATTTATAATTACGCGTTTCAAATTCCAACATCTAATATTTTTATTTAAATTAATTTCACTATTTGAGCCAGAGAATATGCCCGATTATTCTACGGTACAAAAGAGCATCGAATAAACATATGATTTTTAATTCCACACTTAAATTGTATTGCTACGTGAATGTTCACGAGCTTTTCGAAAAATTAAATCAAAACATTATGTAAGTTACTCACGTGACGGTAGTAAAGCCAGCAACGAAAAAAAAACCGAGAGTGTAACACAAGCGTTCATAACTGTAGACGCGCTGCCAATATGACAATTGTTATTCATGGTCAACAAGAAACTGGTCGTGGAATTCACTACAAGACTGATCAAAACTCAGAATATTCACTATAGATGGTCTCGCGACGTCGATTAGCATCATAACAGGAAAAGGCTTGCAAATAAAATCATCAGCAAAGTAATATTTCTGGGATTTTTTATGACGAAATAACTATTTTATAAATATTTTGAACGCATGTTACTAAAAGAGACATATTTTAAAGCCGAAAAAATAATTTTATTTGTAAAATTGTGATATTTTAAAAGTAATAGTAGATGATAATAATTAGTGAGTTTATTCTTCATTTTTTATTGTTTAAATTTTTAATTATTATACATAAATCTCTCTCAACATTTAAAAAAAAAAACAACATTGTATAGAATTTGATTTATTTATATAGCGGAAACTAAAAACAATTACACAAATATGCAATCTGTTTAATTCATTATTTATGCTGTGGAAATTAAAGTAAAGCTGTAAAAGACTTGCAATGAGATGCGTTTACAATTCACAATTTTAAAATAGTTATACGTTTTGCACAGTGAGAAAATAATATGCCCAATATAAAATAGATAAATGTTAATAAAAAGTAATCTGAAGCAATATATTCTCATGATATTCTCCTTTTCTTGTACTGGCAGTAGTTCTTATCCCAAAGAACGTAATTTTGCAACAGCATAGGCCGAATATAAAGACGACAGCGATATGCTTTAACCGACATATACTAAATAATTCCCGGATTCCCTTACGTTTGGCTTATTTGTTACATACATCACATACTGGAGCTGTGCAACAAACAAGAAATCTTATGATATTGTATAACGCTACATAATATGCCGATATATAGGTATAAAGATAATAGAGTTCTCTTGTCGAAGTTCCTCACTTAAGCGAATAAGATAAATAATATCTAGACAAACATAATGTGAGAGTGAATGAGAATAGTGATAAAAAATTAATCCTAATGATTCGAATATTATGATATATCATCGACCACAAGCGCAAAATGTAAGTGCAAATAATAAGAGAAATCTGTATTATAAGAAGATTGCTGCAAGTTTTTATTATTTGATCTTGAGAGATCACGGTAAAATTAACAATGAAAAAACAAACTTGATTTTTAAATTTGAATTTGATAATCTTATATATAAGATTAAATTAGATAATAAGACAATATATTTCACGTTATTAAATTGACACAAGACGGTGGATAAAAGAGGTAAATTTTGACCTAAAAAGTATAATGTAAATTATACATATAATCTTACTTCTTTTTTAAATTGCTAAAAACATTGATAACATTTTTATTTTTCTAAAGCGAAAAAGACACTGACAAACAGTTGTCTAAATCTAATTCTAAATAAAATTGTTCTTTTTATTTATTTATTTGTAAGCATATATTTCAAATAATTAGTAAAATTATTAAAGGTGTTTCATTATATGTTTTAAAAATTATAATCCACACATTGCAAACATTTATAAAGAATACTTGCCATTTATAAGATAAAATTATTTTAGTATAAAAAGCAGTTATATATTGCACAGATCTTTCAATTACTATCATCTTTCAATCACTATATTTAAATTTTCTTCAACTATTATTAAAAAAAGATGTATGAATGTCATTTTTACAATATTTTATATATGCTGTTATCTTATGGATATTACATCTACATTCGTCTGATATCTATTACAAGTTGGATTATACGGCCGCAACATATACGGACATATTTTCTGCATCTGGTAACTCACAATTCTTAAAATGCGTTTGCATAAGCCTGGCGAATCCAATGAAGGGAGTTACTGACAGAAGTGAACGCAGCGTAAGAGTTGTAATCGCAACTACCGTTCCTCACTGGGCTTAAGCTCACGACGCCACGAAGGTACCAAACGCCGTTTTTCTCGAAGCATATGCCGCCACCATTATGTCCATCACGAACCTGAAAATTGTACAATTACATATATTTTTCTTAAATATAATGAATTATTAACTGAAAAAGCGTACACACATTTTTCTTTTGTGAAAGCATTAGGTAAGAATCATTACTATGTCATTAAAGTTATATTATTTGTCATCAAATGCACACCATCAATCATTATAATAAATTTGAAAAAACGCATAAACAACGTGCGTACAATAAATCTTACAATTATTCACGCATATCAAACTCACCGTTCAAGTGATCAGCACAGGCTTATCGTTCGTGATAAATCTTCGGAATTTTGAAGACATCTCGGACAAACACTGATGATACGGTATGTATGACATATGACATTAATTTCTTATAAATTATTGGTGGATTCGTCGTTAATATCTTTACCCCAGCTGACAACCTGAAATCAAGAAATGTGTATACACACATATCCGTTTTTCTTCTTTATAATTCTTCTGCTATTCTTGAATATCTGAGAAACAGAGCATTTTTTAATCATATGTCACAAAAATTAGATAACACATTTTCTCGTATAATCTATTCTTAAATGTATGCATATTATGTGGCAATTAATAAAAATAATGTAACGCGCAGTCAAACTTTAATTCAAAATTACGTCGTTAATGTAGTTAGCAACAATTAGTCCTTTCCGAATGTGTTCGCACTTTTGCTCGACTGCAATGCGTCCACATGTAGCCATCCTACATAAAATTATATTGTCATATAATTTAAATCTGAAATTAGAAATAGATTTGGGTTAAGTTAGAATTTTTCGGGGTGCAGGGACGAAACCCCTTATAAATTAATCTGCTAAGAGTGCGCTCTATTAAATGTATATGGTGTCGGAAAATTATGTTTTATTCAGTAAATCTTTTTCATTAAATATTTCAAAAATTACACGAGACCGCCAAATAAAACAAAGTGAATATTAATCAGCAACCTCACTCTTACAACATATGTGAAGATCAAGATTATTGGCGAAGTGTCCGTTAATGTAAATAATTACTCTTTCTCGTAATTAATAATTTACTTCAATGTTTCTAAAAGAACATCTAAAAAAATGTTGTATACTTGTGTTTATATACTTACAATTAGTCTGTTTAGCGGTATTTAAGAATAGAACTACATCAAGGATATAAGAATAAAAAATATGAAGTTGCACATATAGCAGAAGCAATGCCGTACTTGTATAAAAAAATTGGCTTATTAATTAGTTATACTTATTGTACAGTAAAAAATTTGGTAAATATTCTAGTTTAAGTTTAATGTGTACTCTTTACTCTACATTTTATATAATACAATATATTAAAATATATAAGTTATAATGCATTTTATAAGTTATTAATCTTTTGATGATTTTATTTTTGATCTGTATGTCAAAATGACTAGAAGAAGCAATTTATAATAGGTCATAGAAAGTCACAGGTTATACATAGCATTTGAAAATGCGGATTTATTTTATTGAAAAGACAAAAAAAATTTAAAATTAATAACTTAAGATAACTTCACAATTATATAAACTCGTACAATGCTTTCTTTTATATGGGAGATTTAAGATAATAATAATAAATAAATTTAAAGATAAAAATACATAAGTATTATTATAATTTATTAAATAATTCAAACTTTCTATATAGTGTGAAATTTTATGTGATCGATATTATTCCCTTTCTATTAATATCTTTAATAAATACGTGAGAAAACAATTATATAGCAATATAAAAACAAAAATAACAACTTTATCATTTATTTTGTCAAACACATGTTACAACACAATACAGTAATTATAGCGCTTTATTATTAAAACTTTCTGTAATTCGCATATCATAATTCGCATATCATAATTTTTTTAATCAATATTTATATATATGTATATATATCAATTTCACATAGCATCATGTTTTTAAAATAAAAACCAACCTTCTCACGTAAGTCTTAAAAATTGTAACTTGTTTCGCATTTTTTTAACCAATATTAATATTTTAAAGAAGATATACTATTATTTATGCCAGTATTATATTTCCTTATTATTAGTATTTTGTACATCACATTTACTCATCTAACGTTATTATTAAATGCGATAATGTCCGTATTCCATGCATTCAACAACTCATTGCCCTCAAAAAACAATCTTGTTACTCATTATTGATATAAATCTCGTAAATCCAATCACGGAAGCGACTGACGTAGATAAAATCAGAATACAAGAAGTAATTGCAAGTATTTCTTGGAAAGAGATAAGGCGAGTAACTTAGGCTGGCGACACCACGAAGATACCAAATACCATTCGTTTTAAAGCATAAGCCACTACCGGTATTTTCTTCGCAAACATTTGAACCTGACAATTGCGCAATTATTTTTATTAAGTATAATTATGTGAAAAACTACTGAAAAAATATGCATTCTTCTCTTTCTCATAATAAAGAGTTGTTATCAAAATTTATCTCAACAAATTGAATCATTACGATAATTTCAAAAAAATTCCTAACTAACATGAATAAATCTCCCAATTATTTTCACATACACAAACTCACCGTTCAAACGGCGGGCGCAGAATCTGTCGGCTGTAAGGCGATAATGCACATCTCGAGACAGTGCGGACAAACACTGTTGGTACGGTACGTATAACATATTAAATTCTTGTGATTTATTGGTGAATTTGCGGTTAACATCTCTATGCCAGTTGACAATCTAAAATTAAGAGATGAATATACCAACGTATTCGTTTCTTTTTCTTTATAATACCTTTTCTATTCTTTAATATCTAAAACGGAGCATTATTTAATCGTGACCCATAAAAGTTAAATAACATTTTTTCGTATAATCTATTGTTAAATGTATACACATATACGTGGCAATTAATAAAAACACTATGAAACAATGTATCAACAATCACACAGCCAAAGTTTAATTCAAAATTATGTCGTTAATGTAGTTAGCAACAATTAAATCTTTCCAAATGCATTCGCACCTTTGCTCAATTACAATGTCCGCATGTAGCTGCGCAATTAATTAAATTGAATTAAAGTAATCAATAAATTAATTTACACGAGTGATACTTGAGTAATATTACCTTGCCAGCTTGTCCTTCTTGTAGCTGCTCTCTTTCGTACTGATTGCTCCAATCCATGCAGACGGGCCTTACTAAAATAGTCAGCTGAAAAGATTTTTTCAGCTTCAACAAGGCTATGTCATTTCGGTAATTATTCCTAGAACGTAAGAATCTATCCTTGATTTGGATATTTTCCACCGATGACTTCTGGACGTAATCTTCGTCCTCTTTAGCATCCCAATCATGATAATATTTGCCGGCGCCCACAGCAAATTTCGATTCATGAACTTCTTCGAAAAACTCAAAGTAAAAGCAGTGAGCCGCTAGGAATACATATGAAGAAAGTAAATATTAATAATGATATAATTCATATCCCCAACAATTTACCTGATATGACAAGATTGCTTTTAATGAGAGTGCCACCGCATATCGGCATATATTCGCCCGTATTTTTCTTGACGTAAATACCAACATGCCAGGGAAATACTTCGAGTTTTGTATGGACCTTATTTGGAGCGTTACCATCTGCGTAGTTTTTACCGCATTCTAATTAAACAAAATATTGTTCATATTTTTTATAATTCAACGGTGACTACATAAACCGACAATTACATAGTCATAAATTACAAACCAAAATAGTATTAAAATTATAATTTTAATTTATACACATACCTACACACAGCAAAAGAAGAAAAGGAAGAGCAGAGAAACACTGATTTTTAATATAAAAAAGATTTGTTAGTTATTAATAGATAATATCTTTGAATATTTACAAAGAATGTTTAATTCGTCGAGTTTTTGTCTTCGTATATCGAAGCATATGAAGTAAATGATAAATACCTGCTATACAGGGAATGATGTCGTTATCCCACAAACCATCATCGAGACATATGATCTCCCTATAAGCCGAATCCCTATAACCCGTTAAAGATAATGTATAAAATGGTTTACAAGCAAGTGTAGCTTTTGTACCCGGTAATACATTCTTGGTGCAAGACACCGTTTCATCCTGATAACTGCAAGAAATGTCTACATTTGTGCTTCTTAACGGTGAACAGATTTCTACGGAAATAAACATAGAGAAAGATAAATGATACATATTATATCCTGTATAATTTATCAAATTATTAAATAAAAAAATATTTTGTTACTGCATTCGTGATTTAATACTTTCAAAAATATATAATACATTGTCGAAACAAACTTACTGAGACACAAAGGCGGTGTAGTCCATTTCTGATTGATGCAAATCGAAACGGTATTTCTACTCAACATGTAGTTGTGTTTACAAGTATAAGAAAGAACGCTAAATTCGGGAATTAGATCATTAGGAAGTTTACTACAAGGCTCAGCGCAACCAATCAATTCGTAATGTCCACCTTCCGGTTGTTCAGGCAGGATACAATCACGCGAATTCGATGATCTATTCTCGTTTGTGTTTTCAACATGAGTATTAGTTCGATTAAACGAGACAGTTTGGAGTGCCTCTTGACGAACGCTGAAATAATTGATCCGATCTAGTAAACTATTTTGAAGTGCATCTTGCCGAAAACTATTGACAGGATATGCAATGTAGTACTCATTACGAGCATTGAATAAAGGTGAATTATCAATACTGTAATAACTATCGGAATGTTCTAAGAGCCTATTTAAGCGACTCACACTTCTCGAAGTGAGTTGGCATACGCCTGGCGAATCCAGTGACGAGAGTTACTGACAGAAGTGAATGCAACGTAAGAGTTGTAATCGCAATTACCGTTTCTGACTGGGCTTACGCTCACGACGCCACGAAGATACCAAATACCGTTTTTCTCGAAGCATATGCCGCCGCCGCTATCCCCGTCGCAAACACTTGAACCTGATAATTGTATACAATTATTAGATAATCTGAAATCGTAAGTTCTATGTAAAAAAATGCGATTAAATCTCACAACTTATGTACACATACATAAACTCACCATTCAAATGACCGGCACAAAATTTATCTGTTGTTATAAAGCCTTCGAAATCTCTAGGCACCTCGGACCTACACTGATGATACGGCACGAACGGCATGTCAATTTCATGCAAATTCTTAGTTGATTCGCCGTTAATGTCTTTGCCCCAACCGACAATCTGAAAACAGAGTTGATAAAATGAGAGTTAATTAAAATATGTTAAGATAATTAATCAATTGATTCTCACGATCAACACTAGATCAGTGTTACCTTGCCAGACTGTTGTACATTTAGTTGTTCTCTCTCGTACTGATTGTCCCAGTCCATGCAGACAGGCCTCACTAAGGTAGTGAGCTGGAAAGATGTTTGTAATTTCACAAGGGCTATGTCATCGGCGAAATTACCTCTTCGTCCTATATATCTCTCGCCCGATCGAATGCTCTCGACCAATGATTTTTGAGCGCTTTCATCTGTAGCATTCCAATCGCGAAAATATTTGCCGGCTCCAACGGCGTAATTAGACGCTTTACTAATTTTGTTAAAAACCTCATCATAAAAGCAGTGAGCAGCTACGAATGCACATAAAAAAATTAAAATAATAATAAACATCAAGAGTAAAATAATTACTCTCTCGCGACGATTTACCTGATATGACGAGATTGTTGCTAATAAGAGTGCCGCCGCATATTTGTTCATACTTATCCGATTGTTTCTTTTTATAAATACCAACGTGCCAGGGAAATACTCCTACTTTGGTTTCATATCCATTTACGATTAAAGGCTTGCCGCGTGCGATGGATGTTCCGCATTCTAATTAAATAAATAACAAGTAAAAAATTGTTGATAGATTTATGAAATTACGATGATTACATAAGCCGACGGATCGCGAATCACAATAATCTTATATACGCAAGTATTGTCGAGAAAAAGAATCGATGTGTGCATACTTTATCGATAGACAATATTATTAAGCATGCGCGGAAATTATTTAATTTGTCATGACTTCTTCGTTTTTACTCTGTGTCAAATATATCTGAATAATAAATACCTGGTAGACAGCGAAAGATGTAGTTATCCCATGTACCATCATCGAGGCATGTGATTTCCCTGTAACCTGGATCGGTCGTTATAGGTAATTTATAAGATGATTTACAGGTGAATGTAGCTTGTGTGCCAGGCAATACAAATTTGTTGCAGGACACTGTTTCTCCGTTACGACTACAGGAAATATCTACGCTTGTGCTTCTTAACGGTGGACAGATTTCTATAAAAATAAATACATCGAAAGTAGTAAACGATAAACTTTATATTTTATCTGATTTTATGATTAAACAAGGAAAGTATTGCTTGTACATTAACTTTGCCTTATGTTCTCGATAGTGAATATCGCCAAATGAACTTACTGAGACACGAAGACAACGAGGACCATGTGAGATTAAAACAGACGGAAATCGCGTTTCCGCTTAGTAAGGTAAACGTCCCAATAGCCGGACATGTAACGATACTAGTACGATTTTGCTCAATTTTTATAAGTACTCACGGTTTTTAATGATTTAATTATGTAACCAATTGAAAGGTAAAATATAAAAGCTTATTATTAACGCATAACAGACATGAAAAGTGTTTAAATTATTTTAATAGTAATAAAAATTTTAAAGCATGCAAATGAACTAACATCCGGACACATCGAAAATGCTTGTCCCAGTTACTAAACTTTTTCGTCCCAATATCCGTCCCAATATACGGACACGTTTATCATGTAAATAAAATGAAATGATTTCTAACGATTTTGTATATATAGTAACTATAATTTATTTATAAACTTTATTATAAATTATATATTCAGAAATATAACTTTTTTATAATTATAAAAATATAATCTTTTTATAATGATTTTATAATAGATAGTATTGAGATTTATTTTCCATCTCTGACTTTCTTTAAATTATTTTTTCAGTTTTTTTCTTCATCGTACTTTTAGATATTCTTTTTGGTCATAATAAAGCCCTTTTAAATGATGAAGAAACCATTTCTCTCAAATAAATGTTCTCTAGATCATGATCTGTATATCAGAAGGAATGAATCACAAGAAAATCAAGAGAAAATTTAAAATAGTATTTGTTATTTATTAAAATACTTACGGAATTCATCTTAAGAGTAATTAAATAGTCCGATTTAATTATTGGTACTTTCTAATCATGTGTCATCGAAGCGAGTTGTACTGGTAACTAAACACACGATCAGTTACTGGGCAATCACGTAAATTACTGCACCAGTAACTAAATTTGCAAAATTTGCCAAAAAAATATTGTTTATATCAATTAAAAACATTTTTATAATTATTCTACATCTTCTTCGACTTGAATAATGTTCATAAAACTTTGTTTATAAGATAAAAACACGGAATATAATAAAAATCATTTTAATAAGTAAGACGAATTTTCTTAAGAAAATTTTAAGAGCGTTCTCAAAATATGTCCTTCGTCTAATTACGTAACAAATTTACCTTTTTATTGGATGTTAATTTTTATAATATTTAAAAATGTCTTACTATATAAATATCCTTAAATTAAAGATTTTGCAATAAAATTTTGATATTATAATAAATAATTCATTTGAGATTAATAATGATAAATTTTCATGTAAATGTCCGGATATAGGGACATGTCCGGCAATCGGTACTTTTACCTTACATAATTATTTCCACAACTATAAATAAGAATACTGTTGCGAGGGACTCTATCATTAGGATTTTTGTCACAAGGCTTCGTACAACCATCCAATTCATAACGTCCGCCTTCTGGTTGTTCAGGCAGAAAACAAAAATTCCAAAACTCATTTGGTAATGCATCATACATGCTTGCAGTTATTATAGAGGAGACTGTCGAGGCACTAACCTCCTGACATACAGATGCTAAAAATGCATAATGTTTATGTAAATGTTTCTACTAAAACTTGGAAAAATTTATAATTTTTGATGTATAAATATTATAAGTCAATTTTTTTACTATTCGCCCGATTTTTTTCCAATAATATACAGAGAAACGCATTGAAAAGAAATATAAGTTTTTAATTAAAATATATTATTATGCTTGCTCGCAAATTTCTACAGTTGTTCTTAAAATTGAATTTTGTAAAGCACAACCATGCCAGAAATAACAGCAAAAATATGAATCAAAACGTTATAAACGTACTTACGCGATGGCAGCAAAACTAACCATAACGACACAGTCACCAAAAATGCAATATATGCGTTCATAATTATAAATGCACTGTCAATATATAAATATATAAACGTTTCTCGTAATTGATAATAAGGAACTGGAATTTACGTCAAGCCAAATAAATATTTGCAATGATCCACACAAATGGTCTACAGATTGCTTTCTCAACGATGCCAAGTATCATAATGTAATTAAGAATGGGTGCATTCAGCAGAAGAAACTCCTTACTAACAATCGAACGTCATTAACTTTTATTTTCAGAACCAAAAAGTCAATGTAGAATGTTGATAAGATTGTCGTCTTATCAATTCAGCAGTTGTTTTGCTGAACACGACCAATGACACCATCGCAAATTGATAACAACAACAGTAAAATGTAGAAATGTCAATATTCTGCGCGTGTTATCTAGAGTAATTCTATAACTGCGAAATAATTATCATCTATAAGACATTTTGATATCGATATAATAATAATTAATAGGATTTTCCTGTGTTTAATGATTTATCTCGATGCTCTTGAAAGTTAATTATGTAACATGAATTTAGACAGCAAAATCTACGAGCAACATTACCATTTACTTGAAAATATTTAAACAGCTCAACAACAAGATGCAAATATCTGATTACATGTTAAACACTGCACATTCTACTATAGACGCAAAAAATTTCCTTATATTATGTAGAAAAATTAAGATAAATTAATATTAATTAACTCTGAATAATTCTACATTTCATATTTTATAATACAGTATATTTAAATATGTAAGTTGTAATGCATTTCATAAGTTATTAATCTTTTGATGATTTTAGTTTTGATTTGTATACCAAAATGACTAAAAGAATCAATTTATAATAAATTGTGGAAAGTCACAGGGTATATAGCATTTGATTTATTTTATAGAAAAGACATAAAAAAACTTTAAAATTATAATAACTTGAGACAACTTCACAATTATATAAACTCGTACAATGCTTTTTTTTATATAAGGAATTTAAAATAATAATAATAAATAAATTTAAAGATAAAATTACATAAGTATTATTATAATTTATTAAATAATTATTCAAGCTTTCTATACAGTGTAAAATTTTACGAAATTGATATTATTCCATTTTTATTAACATTTTTAATAAATACTTATTAAAAAAATAATTATGCAGCAATATAAAAACAAAAGTAACAATTTTATTATTTATTTCGTCGCAAACATATGTTACAATACAATATAGTAATTACAGCGCTTTATTATAAAAACTTTCTGTAATTCGCATACGTATCATAATTTTTTAAATCGATATTTATATATATATGTATATATATCAATTTCACATAACATCATGTTTTCAAAATAAAAGCCACCCTTATCATGTAGTCTTTAAAACTGTAACTTTTTTTTGCATTTTTTCAATCAATATTAAAATTTTAAAGAAGATATACTATTATTTATGCCAATATAATATTTCCTTACTATTATTTTGTACATCACATCTACTAATTTAACATTATTATTAAATGCGATAATGTCCATATTCCATGCATTCGACAACTCACTGCCCTCAAAAAACAATCTTGTTACTCATTGATATAAGCCTCGCGAATCCAATCACGGAAGCGACTGACGTAGGTAAATCCAACATACGAGTTGTAATCGCAAGTACCTCTTTTGTTAGGACTTACGCTGACGACACCACGAAGATACCAAATACCATCCTTTTCAAAGCATAAGCCACCACCGCTATCTCCTTCGCAAACACTCGAACCTGACAATTGCGTAATTATTTTTATTATGTATAATTATGAAAAACTAATGAAAAAAATATGCATTCATCTCTTTCAAAGTAACAAAGAGTTGTCATCATCAAAAATTATCTCAACAAATTGAATCGTTATGATAATTTCAAAAGAATTTCATATATAACTAACATGAATAAATCTCACAATTATTTACACATACACGAACTCACCGTTCAAACGGCCGGCGCAGAATTTGTCGGACGTGAGGTATCCTCGGAAATCTAGAGGCACTGCGGACAAACACTGTTGGTACGGCACGAACGGCATGTCAATTTCCTGTAAGTTCCTGGTGGATTCACCTCTAATGTCTTTGCCCCAGCCGACCACCTGAAATCACGAAGTAAGCTCACGAGTCCGTTCTATTTTCTCTTTACGTTTGATTCTCCCTCGCTCCCTGAACACGCGAAACGAGCCGTTCTCTAAACCTGTACTCCGCAAAAATTAGATAGTCTATTCGATAGTACGTAGATCCATCGAAAATGTGCGCATGTATGTTTATCAATTAAGACAAACACGATAAAACGATGTCTCAACATACACGCGACCAAAGTTTAATCCAGAACCATGTCGTTAATGTAATTAATAGCTATTAGTTTTCCAAATATATTTTCGCTTGGCTACCCTCGCGATTAATTACGACGATCAATTTCTCATGACTGATATTAAATCAGCGTTACCTTGCCGAGTTGTCCTAGTTGCAGCTGTTCCCTTTCGTATTCGTTGTCCCAATCCATACAAACTGGCTTCACTAAAGTAGTCAGCTCAAAGGATGTTCTTAATTTTAATAAAGCTATGTCGTCGGCGAAATTACCTCTCGCCCCCAAGTATCTGCCGCCCAATTGAATACTCTCTACCAACGACTTCTGAGAGTATTTCTCTCTCTCGTTCCAATCACGGTACTTTTTGCCGGCGGCCACAGCATAATTCTGTGAGCTACTAAGTTTATTGTAGACCTCATCGTAAACGCAGTGGGCCGCTGCGAATATAGGCGAAAAGAGTGAACAATAAGAATTTAATCATCTTTACACGCGATAATTTACCTGTTATGACGAGATTGCTACTAATGATAGTGCCGCCACATATCTGTTCGTACTCTTGATCCGTATTCTTGGTGTAAATACCAACGTGCCAGGGAAATTTACCTATTTCAGCTTCGAATCCGTTTACGATTAAAGTGTTACCGCGTGCAGTGGTCGTTCCGCATTCTAATTGTGAACAAAAAAAAATATATTTTTATACCTTTCGCTAAAAAAATATGTCTTATATTTTGTAAATATTTTTGCTTTTTATATTTTTTTAATAAAGCGATTACGTAAACCACCGGATTACAAACTGAAAAAAATCTCGAAACTATAATCTTGTAATGTATACAAATGTTAATTACTAAAGCAAAAAATTGTATTGTACGTATTTAGTTTTTTAATAATTGCATGCAAAGAGGATATTTAATTCATCAATATTTTTTCTTCTTTTATTAGAAATATGCGAGAAATATGCGAGAAATATGCGATAAATACCGGGTAGACAACGAAAAAGGCGACGATCCCATAAACCATCGTCAAGACACGTGATCTCTCTGTAAGCCGGATCGTTCGTTAAAGGTAATTTATAAGATGATTTACAGGCGAGTGCAGCTCGTGTACCAGGCTGTATACGCTCGCTGCAGGACACTGTTTCTTCCTTGTAGCTGCAGGAAATGTCTACGCTTGTGCTGTTTAACGGTGGGCAGACTTCTACGAAAGTAATAAATAAAGAGAAGGTAAAAATAATAATTTTTATATTATACAACACACATTTTTAAATTTTTTGTTATTAAATAAATAAATTACTTTTATCATATAAACTTTGCCTCAACAATATATATTTAACAATAAATATGATCATAAAATAAACTTACTATAACACGAAGGTAGTTCGGACCATTTGTTGTTGACGCAAACGGAAATGCTGTTTCCGCTCAGTAAATAATTGCTTTTACAACTGTAAGTGAGGATGCTTTTTAAGGGAACTGCATCGCCAGGACGTTTAGTGCAACCATTGCAATCATCCAATTCATATTGTCCATTTTCCGGTTGTTCAGGCAAGACACAGCCATTTTGACTAAATCTATTCCTATAATTCCGCAAATATGTATTTAATCGTAAATATAAATCTGAGATTTATATTACAAAATAAAAAAATGAAGAAGGCGATTAAAAAGAGAACAAAGTTCAAATAAAATCATGTTATTATCGAATTCATTTGTATGTATGTTTATCAGACGCATGCAAATTAAAGACGCACATGCAATTAAAGAAGTATTTAGCTTACGTAACACAAAACGCTTCGTCGCTAGCATCGCGACAATCAACGTTTTGATTGCATCTAACGCTTTGCGGTAAGCATTCGTTACTCTTGCAATGAAACTCGTTGTCTCTGTTTAATAATAATAATTAAAATTTTTTCATCACATACTTGAATTTGTGATTTAACATAAGAATAAGAGACATTTATTTTTCCATTTATATTGATAAGAAATTGAATGTTTTTAATTGAAACAAACCTGCATCGTTGATTTTGCGAGTTTCCGTTTGGATCTGATATACGATCATCCGGACCATGAGGACGATCTCTTTCATTGGGACGGGGTTCATAAGTATTCTCATTTTCAGATGGTCTTTCGATGTTTACTCCGTTCCAGCCCGGAGGATGTCTATTTAATCCTGGAGGACCGCCGCCCGCTAATCCGGGAGGCCCGCGACCACCTGGTGGTCCTCTGCCACCACCTTTCCATTTATTATGACCCGGTGGTCCGGAAGAACCATCGCCCCCGCCCTGCTTGTTATGACCAGGTGGGCCATTTGCGGTTGCCACGTATTGATCAGGGGAATTGTACACAGTGTCATATACACGACCGTCATTTTGAGTGGATGCTAAAAGTTAAGTATAATTTCTGCGTAAATGCTTTTACACATTCTCGAAAGATACTTCGTACTGATTGTACATATATATGAAAAAATTTAAATAATGCCATATTAAAATCCTCGATTATTCGTGCTTAAAGAAAACAGAAAGACAAAAACAATTGGATAAATATAATAAGCTAAAGAGCCATATGCTAAAGTTCTGTACTGAATTCATATATTATATATATTAAATGCATAAAAAACATACGTTTCGGTTTTGGCCATTCTCAGTATTCACAAAGTCAAAAGTATACCGCACGCAATATCACATTTTATATGTAAAGACAAACAATAATATGAACTTATGTCTAATACGTCATATATAGTCGATTATTTAATATAAAAATGTGACCCTGATCTTCCAGAGGACAAGTCTCTGTTAAATGATGCGTAAATCAAGAATGTTAAAACTGGTTACTAGCGTTTGCTTTTCAGTAGATAAACGATTAAAAATGTATACTTTTTATGTATTTAATGTATTAATATATGAATTCAGCATGGAGACCGTATGGCTCTTTAGCTTATTGTATTCATCCTTTATTATTTATTTAAAATAAGAGAGTCTGATTATAAATAATTTATTATTTTTTAATTTTGTTAAAAACAATTGGATAATGTGGTAAAAAAAACTCGAGTAAAAAACTGATTAATAATCTGATTGATCGTATCTTTTATAAAAAAGAAGATATATGTATACAGAAAAGAGAATGACTTTTACACATATGTGTATGATTCAAGGTTTAATAATGCATGAATACAGTGTTGTACGATCGCTTCGAATCTTGATTATAGCCTCTCAATGTAAGCTAGTACGGGTATTTGTGGCCCCGATCCAGTTTATAAATATTCAATCGTCATTCAACATAGATAGAAATCATGTTTCTTGGTTTCTTTCGCATGTTTTAAATTTATTATGTGTAATTTTAAATACGAACAAATTATTTAAAAACATCTTGAAGTTAAATATTTTGATCGCACGTTGTACACGCAATATTTGATTATAAATAATTATTCGGTTATAATTATTCGATTTAGATTTTATCGTATAATATCATTTTCATTTATATAAATTCCATAACTTGCCCAATTATTTGACAATACAACGCATTGAATAAAAATATGATCTTTTAATTTTGCAATTAAATCACTATGTCATTATGCAGAATCACAAGCAACCGCGGCCGTTTTTCGCACAAAACTCCGTGGAACACGATTGTGTCAGGAACGACACCAGGGTTTTACATGAAAACGTTATATAAGTTACTCACACGATGGCAATAAAACCAACAACGACAGAATCACCGAGAATACAACGCGTACATTCATATCTGCAGACGCGTCGCCGACATGGTACGATCATAGTCAACAAGAAACTGATCTTGGTGGGACCTAAGCTAGGTCCAATCGACACTCGGAATACCCCACGATAATCTCCATATTATTTCGACGAGTGGTAACATGACAGAGAGAAAGGAATGATATCGTCATATTGATAATGACGACATTCATCGAAATAAATACAAATATACGTATTATCGAGAAATGTTTTATGAAATAATGATAACATAATCTCATTTGTGAACTTTTAACATCTTTAACCGCTAATAGCGGATATAATAACGGATGGGATTGTTTTTTCTTTGTGTTTATGTTTTTATTATTTTTATTTCAACATGTTTCTAATAGCTCACGTTGCTTGACTTCGGCTACTTGCATTTTATGCTGCCTTGCATAGCTCATCATCATCAAAGAGCATGTGCTCGTTATCATCAAAAGTTAGCAACTCTCGCACATCGTATTATCTGCGATAAAAACGAGAGTCGATAAATTCAAGCAACTCGGTTGAAGCAATAATCACGAAAATGAACGTTTTACTCCAGAAACATGGAGCTAAACATATATACAAAGTCCCGGAAGGATTGCGCGAATTATGCGCCGACATCGCACGCGAGGTTTGCCCTACGAAATTATTATTTGACTTCTTACTGCCGTCTTGTCAAAGGACGATTAAATTATTATTTGATCCGTAAAGGTTTTACGCTCGCAACCGAGGAACATCTATTGCTTCGTTGCCGATTATGTAGAAGCACTCCTAATTACGCGAGAAAATGCAAAAGGTGAATCCCGTGTTGTTTATAACAATTTTACAATGTCAAATTTTTTGATGTCACTCAATTGTAACCAGATATTACAGCGTTAAGCCAATTAACTAGTAATATTTACATATATTTACATACATATGAGATAATTTATTATACAATTTATTACGTAAATTCAAAAAAACTGCTGGAAAATGATTACCATAATCGTTTACGTGTGACAATCATAAATGGTTATAATCGTGTATTGCGGATCACGTTCTATAATTCATATAATTGTGGTTCTAGTTGCGGTGAAAGTCGTAAACAATATTTTACTGGGAAGCCAAGCCATCGTGGGCATACTTTATCGCAGCGGCTTGAGTTTAGAGCAGATCGCCTGCGCTGCTCCCAGAATTCAGGTATAGAATTTACTGTCGCGTGCCAGATAGGGATCCTAGCAGTTAAATAATATTTCTCGGTCGTTCTCTCCTTTCTTTTTGTTCAGAGGGCATTCCGCGCGTACTTGGACGCGGTAGACATGCGAGCGTACCAGGTGTGCGACGGTAATTACACGGTGAATTATGTAGAAAAACAATTCTGCGGCTGGTAGACGCGGAATTGTGTATGCTATAAAGTACACGAGAACATAATGAGAGAAATTCCTCCCTTTCGACTTTTCGCAGACGACACTTGCGACGAACAGTCCAGGATATCTCTGCAGTGTATCCTGCAAGCGACGGGAACACCGCTGGAACAGGCGGAGAAGTCTGCCATAATAATACAGGTATGCATCAATATCACGTAAGTTCTTAATGAGTCTCCGTAAACGCTACCGCAGCTTCTTGAATCATTTTCGCTGCCATCAATCAGGCCGCTTTCCGCGGTCATTACGAGAGAATGTTGTTAAACGAGTCCCGGGGCATGATTCAATGGCAACGAGCGGCAACGAGGACCCTGGAGATTCTGAGAAAAGCCGGAGCTTCGCAGGCGGAGGCGTCGAAAGCCGCTATTCTAATACAGGCTACTTACCGCGGATACTATACGAGGAGAAATATAAAAATGAAAATGAGTAAAAATATTGCTCGACTGACATATCTGCGTTTCGACTGACATATTAAAAATATATTTTTGAAATCGTTTGTACAATTGTTTGCAGCGACTACGCAATTGCAAGAGGAAAAGGAAGACGACGTGATAGAATCCAGAGACACCATTCCAGCAGTAGCCTGGTTAGATATGATGTACGAGGAATCAGGACTGACGCAGACGAGAGCTAATGAAGCTGCTTCTATTATACAAGTAAATAAATTAAATTATAAAAAAATATTTTATATATATAGTACATTATATAAAATTATATTAGTCGTATCATATTTTATGCCAAATTCATGTAGAATTAAATGGCAATAATCATAAATCTCATGTAGAAAGCTTACAGACAGTATCGTCAAAAAAAGAATAACTATAATACACCGCGGATAGAATCTACAAGATCGTTGGTAGCGGAAGCTATTGTCAAAAATTTGCATCAGAAAGTTTTCGACGAAATTAAGAACCGCGAGGACATTCCTACAGAATTTAGTAATCGAAAAGACTTGACAAAGACTAGCGAAGAACTTCAGCGTACTCTTAAAGACCGGTTGACACATGCTCGCATAAAGGAGGAAGGTGGTCATTTTCATTGTCTTTACAAAATAATATCAATTCTAAATTTAATATTATACAAAGAGACTGTATTATACAAAATTCAAAAACTATTGGTTTTTCATTTATTATGTGTCCGGATGTGTAAATAGAATACAACGAACAAGAGTTTGTTCGCACAGAAGTGTCCGAACCGAAATTAGAAAACGACGATACGTACTCGAACGGCGCGGAAGATCAGGAAGAAGCCCGAGAGATCGAAGTAGAAACGGAACGTGAAGGAACGTACGTGCGGGACTAACATCAGCGAGAGGACCAAACTTCTTGGGGAAAAGGGAGACAGAAAAAGGAGGGAAATGCTGCAGGTCAGAATTCTTTTCAAAAGTGCCGGCGGATGAGCCAATTAACATGGAACGAACGGTGCGAGGAAAGAAACGAGACAACGAAGAACGCGACCAGCGGAAAAGCTGCCACCGGAGGCCGCCCAATAAATGCCGGAGACACAGCGGCATTTAATGCCCGCATTCGACATGCTTAAGTTCGATAATTTCGTTAACGTGCCGCGCTTCCGTAGCGAGCTTTAAAATTCCCACAGACGGGAAATGGTCCCGACACATGTATTACAAGTAAAATGAATTAAAAACTGTCCCGCCTGCGTAACTTTAATTTAATTCGACTGATACGAGTTAAAGCGTTTCATGGGGGGCTCATTCAAATTTGGTTTGCATAATTTTTATTCTTGACATTTTTAGTTTTAATACTCCGCTACACATTATTTCGCATTAGTACGGCGTGAGTAAAAGTACCATGAAAAAAATTCAATGGTTTAAATGTGTGTGAGAAACGCGGTATAAGTACAGCGATTGTGCTTGAATTTTTTGCGCACACCGCTATGGTATTTCTCGCTCTAATAAAAATGTAGATAAAGAAGGAAAAATTGAAATAAATTTTAATTTATTTTTAATTCCAATATATATATATATATATATATATATATATCTCCTTCTCATGTGAAAGAAATATTTGTAACGCTAAAAATAACTAGAAAAGAGAAAATTGATGTAAAAATACGTAAACATGTTTGTATACGAAACGAAATTGAATTAGAAGGCACGTCTACAAGGCGCTCGACTTGAACAGCGGTGAGTAGCAGACGTCTCGTTCAAAGGGGACTTGAATCGGTCGAATTCACCCTCCGGCGGCGCGTGTCGACCACATCCACGACTACACGAGTTTCTCGCGATCCTTGCAGCGGTCCCGCAGCACTCGCAATGTGCTCGGCAAATGTGTTTCACGCTCGGTCTATCGTGCGGAACAGCATTTTCGAGCGGCGATTCCGGCTGATCGATGATTTTCGTAGTCAACGATTTGTTACACTCGTCCCTCTCTCGCCCCGTCCTGTCGTCCGATCGCACCTTACCCTCGCATCTTTTGCCGCGGCACTTCCTGCCGACTTTATATTTTTCAGTGAGGATGCACATGGAGTCCTTGTGATTGATAACGGCCACTCTACCGTCCTCGTCGTTGTCGTCGTTTTCGTCGTTTTCGTTCCCGTTTTTCTCCCACCGTTTTTCGTCGTTTCGCTCACGAGAGGCTGATATTATTCCAGGGTACTCCTTCGAGCAGCACTGCCCCACATACAATCGACTATTCTCGCCTCGCATCTGATCGTGCCAGCTTTTATGCTGAGCTTTTCCGCCGGGGACGCACACCTCGCATCTGCAATATGAATAATGCGAAGAGAGTGAATTAAACAGAGATTGCAGCCATGGCGTCTTTTCATTTCCTCTCAGTCACGTATTTTCTCATTCTCTATTTTTTTTTCTAAAATATATATTATAATAAATCTCTTTTATTAACCCTTTTGCGTTCGTAGAGAACGAATTGTCGCGCTGTCGACAACAGCAATGCCGACGAAAGCAATCGCAATGATGAACGCAACGATGGCATCCGTCGCAGCAATGATCGCACGACGACTTCAACAAATCCAAAACGGACTCTTTGCACGGATGATGCTCGCATCGGCATCGCCAGGCCGATTCCACGATTTTCCGATGGGGCATTGAGTTATGCAATTTCATCCACGCGTCTTCTATACCAGGACCATGACGACCCCGAGCGTCGCTCGTGACGACACCACCTTCCGCGTCGCCGTCAAGATCGATGGACGTCTCGTGACAACTCGTCGACGCGAAATCCTTACCCTTGTCCTTCGAAAAGTCGCCGCACGCGACCTTGTCCTTCCTCTCACCAGGCGCCAAATCGTAGAGGAGATTGACGGGATCAGAGTTCGAGTAGGATACAGCTGGTGGACAGCGCGTTTTGCGATGATGGTAGAATGTTGAATGCGCGGATTGCGGAATCCATTCCGTTCTTTTAGCAGCCTCACCATCCATCGTTCTCGACGCTGCATCGCATCTGTATTTGTGAAGAAAGTTGCTCGTAATTAATATTTAATGAAAAGAGTTTGTAATTAAAATCATATCTTCGTTGGAACTTTAAAAGACTGTCTTATTTATAATGCGATCGTGACTTTTGAAATATATCGTACGACTATATAATGTATATGAGTGAGTAATAGTGAGAGACGATAAGTACATTTATTATTAATTAATTTGATAAAAATAAATGTTCTATAAAGAAATCGAAGCTATAAATGAATAAACTGCGAGAAATCGCAAATACAAACAAACCTGTCTCGCTCAGCCGCTTTTACAGATTCATTTTTCTGATCGACATCCGAAGCTACGAACACCTCACGTTCTCTACTCGGCACTGTATCGATTGCATCTCCACCGCTGCACTCGTCCTGCAACTCCGAAATGTCCTCACCGTTATTTCTTGCCCGGCAGCAACTACAGCTGATCGAATTCTCCTTGCTGTAGGAATGCTTGTAATCGCAACCATTCCGCACGCTCGCCGGACAAACGTGATCGGATCTCAAGTTGCACGCGCGTCTCACTAATATAGAGCTCGATTTCGCTTGATTAATGGACCCTTCGCAGCTTGTCGCGGTTTCTGCCTGGAAAAGGAGCATCCGAAGCGCATTAATTAATCTCGCTCTCGATATCAAAATAGTAAAGAGTTTAATCTATGATTCAAGCATAAGAGTTAGGAAACTTTAAATTAAACAACACGAATTTGATATCGTTATGTATTCATTAATTATACTTTCCTTATAATCATATTTTTATTTAAAAACAAAAATTATAGATGGGTGGGACTAGTGACCTTTGTATTTCCAGATATATGTTCGATCGTGCTTTCGAGGCCAAAGTCCTTCGGAAATTTACGACGAGCACGTCGAAAAGCGATTGCCGCTGCGACAAGCTGATGAGATGAGGACGGACAAAGCGACATTACTAAAAAGCGATTATGGTCGCTGCAAACATCCCTGTGATGTGGTACTCGATTCAGGATAGAGATGACCCTAATTACAACGATCGATTCTGGAAATTCGGATAGTCGGAATACGGTTTCCGTCGCCTGTTATCTAACGGAACACAAAATACTTCCCACGTAGAAAAAGGTTACCGATCGATAACGCAATCGACGCGTGTAATTTGTCAATTCATACTCGGGTTACAATCGCCCGCATTGTATGTATGTACCTACATGCTCTCGTCCTTGACTGCCTTGACAGTCCATGGCGATATTTATCGATCGATACTTATAATTGTGTCGATATTTCTACGCTGGGATGTTCCACGTTTAACAAAGCATATATTTTTTTTATAAAAATTACTTCTTTAGATAATTATATTAACATATATTTCAAGAATTATATATTGAAAAATATATCGGATAGGATACATTGCCAAGTTTAAAATTGATACCGTATGAATGTGAAAGGCTTCGAAAATTAATACAGCAGCGGCAAATATTTATTCCCGATCTTTCGCATTCGGAAGAAGAATTCGCGCCACGACAACGGCTCCATGTAACGCGTCCCGATAAATTTGAACTTCTCCGAAGTATCGAGTAACGTGGTCACGGAACTCGACGAGAGCTGCGAGTTTTCTAACGTAACAGCTAGGAAACCACCAGATACGGGTAACGAGTCCTGAGAACCGCCGATGGCTTTATCGAATTGGTATCGAGCGAAATTTCGCTCCCTCCCGCGTAGCCGCTCGTCCTGAAACACGAATGCCTTGGTCAGGGATTTGATCATCGCTGCTGTTACTCCGGTGGTGGTCCCTCCTCTCGCTTACCCGACGGCGTTTAACGGGGCTAATTGCGACGATTGCTCGCTGCAAATGGAAATGGTGCGGTTTTACCGCTGTTTACCGGATCGCATCGACGTGGAAAATGGCAGTCTGTTCTCGAGAGTGAGTACATCGATATAAATCGGCTACTTAATTGACAATAATGATTTATTATGAGGTTTTTTATATAAAAAGTCTCATGCGCACAACCGTTATATCTATACATTTTGTATATCTATTTATAGAGATAAATGGAGAAATGATATACATAGCTGAGAAAGGAGATATATATAAAACGTGATTAATATTCGAACACGCGGATATAAAATAAGTGGTCTTCGCGAACGCGTAATAATAGGAATTATATTTGACTAAAATAATAAGGCTGTTATCTCTCTTTCTCTCGCTAGATGTATATTATACAAATAAGTCACGCTTCGTGCATATCAAAACGAGCTCTGCAATTAATAAGTAACTATCTCTCTTTTTCTCTTTCGCCAACATGACATTATTTTCATTATACAATCTTGTATCGTGTATCTTTTTTTTTTATCTCTGAATGTACAGAACTTAAATTGTGTAGATAGAATTTTAATTGTATAAACAACCTGTAACATTTACATATATTTTCATATATTTTTCAGTAACGTCCTTCCTTAGAATAAATAATAGTTAAATTATAACAACTAAGAGTACAAGAACTATTATATAAATAGATTATTAAATTACAATAATTATTCTAAAGAACAATCAAAGCGCAAAAATAACATGTTGCACTCCAAAATATTCACATTTACTAAAATTATATTTATTAAAATTTTATATTTATTCAGATTGTTGTGGCTTAATCGTCGCTCTATTATAACAAGGTCATGTTTGATAAGTCAAATACATGTTATCATCCAAATGCAGTTATGCGGGCAACATTAACATAATCAAAAAGAGGTCAAGATAACATAATTGTTAATCTATAAAACTGTGACTACGACAAAAAGATAATACCAAATAAGGATTAACTATCTTATTATATACAATATCCCTAATAAATTATATACAACAAATAATTTATATACAACATCCCTATCTTATTATATACAATATTTATTATCATACAATATTTAATTGCACATCTAATTTTAATTACAATTTTGACATATATACATATGCACACATATATATGTATATATACGCAAATATACAATTTGGAAAAAGTGACCGCTTGTTTTAGTTTTGTTGTATCACTGTTTTTTGCCAGAGGCCAGAAAACATTTTCGAACCGAATCTCGGGCAGAGCGATTCGTATATTATATATATCACCTGTGGTTCGCTCGTCACTCTTACCGACTCCCGACCGCTCTCAGGCTTCTTTCTGATAGAAGATCAATGCAATGAATAAATACAAATTTGCGATAAATTGTGCAATAATCTAGACATACTAGGAAATGATGATTGCAGAGATTTCCTTCTAGAGAAATTGAAATCGTGCTGTCGGGAGTTTTGATTACGCATCGCTATCAAAGTTAAAGAAAGACTCCGTTACGAGAGAGACAGAAAAGAGTACAGTCATTTTTTACAAAAGTGCACAATCAAAAACTATCGATGAAAAACCTCTTACATTACACTATTACATTTACATAATAATAAGTCGTTTATAAATCATTATATACATATGAAAATCTTTTATATTTTTATATTATATAAATTGCATTAAACAAGAGGTCTGTCTACGCTACAAAGATATATATCTTTGTAGAGCTGCAACTTGAGATTGATATAGTAAATGATAGTATCTGAAAAAGACGCTATTATATATGTTGTAAAAGGAAGAAATGAATAAGATTTCCAATGTGATAAAGTTGCAGAAAAGTGTAAAGAATGAATTAGAAGAATTAAAAAAGCGAAAAGATGCTTTATTATCGGAGGTAATAAACTTCTTAAAGCTGGGTGAGTCCATCTATCTACTTGAATCAAAATCTGTCCAAATCCAAAGCATAGGAACTGAAACGTATGAGTATTGATATGTAATATTGATTAATTATTTGATATTTTATTGGATACGCATACACATTTTCAACAGCAGTTTAGTTCGGCTTATTAGCCTTTTTTGGTTCAAGTATTTGATTTTTATCATTAAGCTTATGCACATGCTTTTATATATATTAATTTTTTTCTTAACTATATATTTTCAGAGATAGAACGTAGAAGAAAAGAAGATCTAAATTGACAAACTGTAAAATGAGCGTATTATCTATGTAAAGAACATTTAGACATGCACATAGATTTTAAAGAAACAATGAGACAAAAAATAACTGCTTCGTTTAGTTATTTAAATTATTACATAGTGCTAACTGCTGGAAATAAAATACATAATATTCTAAATATAAATTTAAAATAAAACAAATGTAATCAATGAATAATACTCTCTCTCTCTCTCTTCCTCTGATAGTTATTTGTATAATATATTTTTAGTTAAATCAAAATTTTAAAAAATATGTTAGAGTTAATCTCCTTTTAAGGAATTATCTCTAATAGAGAAAAGATTTTTCCGGAAATTTAAAAACATTGAACATTTTATATTTTTAAGCAAGATAAGTATATTTCTAAAATATTATGTCAAAAAAGTATGAAACACATTATAATATGGTGGCTGTATTAATTATTATTAAAAGTTAAGATATTTGTTTAAACTTTTATAATTTATTCAATTATACGGATATTTTAGCGTTACATCGATATATTTTTTTCGTGTTTTTCTCATCAATTTTTATCTAATTTATTACAAGAATTTTCTTGTAATATCTCAAAAATTTAAACAAATAAAATTTAAGCAATG